CACCCTCTCTTAACCCCATTATTCCCTTCAAATATTCCTTTTGCTCTCTCTACACGCATCCCTTTTTGCTTACCATGTGATGAATTTTCTTTTGTTTCCAATTCCTCTCTTCCTATGGGTGTAACCTTTTTTTTTGGGCGACTTTTATTTTTCTACATGGCTACTTCTTTTCTCGCTTACCGCATGCTCTTTATCCTACCTAGAGGGTGATTCCTAGGTAGAGTTATGTTTCTCAGGTGCCTAAAGTTGTTTCCTAGGTCCATTTGACTTGTATGTCAACTCGTCATTTTATTCATTCCTTCCATGAGCCCATGCGCTCCTTCACTTCCTGCCTTTCAATGGGCGTTATATTTACTTTGTTTCTCTTATGCCGCTGTTGCAACTCTGGAGATTGGAGTTCTTCTTTTTGGTTCCCCTTACTGGACTACTACAATCAACTGTTGCCGCCATCTCCATTACTATGTAGTTTCTTCATTCAAATCTTGCTATGCTGTGTGCGCTCGATTTGCGGGGGAGTATTAGGAAGTTACAATAGTATTTCAGTTACAATTGTTAATCCTACTAATGATAGGAAATGGTCAGTTGTCAGTTAAGTTGTTATTAGGCCATAACTCTTTATGTTTATGATAATGGCTTGATGTAACTGTAGATTATTCTCTACAGACTTGTATATAAATATTGTATAATGATCATATGAATAATATAAGGGAAAATCAGTTTCTATATGGTATCAGTTTCTACAGTTTTTGTGTCCAGTGCTCAATAGTAGTTTCTCTAAATCAAGTGCTCAATTGTATCCTTTTTTTATTTTATGCTTTTTGGTTCAGGTTTACCAAGTTTGATCTTTCGTCTCCGGCTGTAAGTAGGGGGCTTCCTATCACTCTTGTGATATGCCGGATGGAGCTACAAGATATCTTAGTCAATGCAGTCGGATTGGACATTGTGAGAAACAATTCTGAAGTGGTGGACTTCATTGAAGAGCCTAGCAAGGTTCAATTAATTTTTTACTAATATTCTAGTTTCTAAAACTGTTCAGAAACCAGTACAAATTTCTCAGCTTCTTTCCGTGTATTATTAATTAGGTCACAGTGATCCTTGAAGATGGACAGCAATATCATGGTGATGTTTTAGTAGGAGCTGATGGAATATGGTCAAAAGTAAATTCTCTGTTAATCTTTGAGCCATCTCCAATGTATGCCCTTTCAACTTCATAATTATTTTGTCTCTTTTTTACCAGGTGCGAACGAAATTATTTGGCAGACGGGAAGCAAAGTACTCAAATTACACCTGCTACAGTGGAATAACAAAAAAAATTAGTTCCGCCATACATTGATAGTGTCGGGTATATTATATGTTATATGGTTCATATTGACAAGCTGAATTAAAAAAAATGGACAAATAAAAGTGTAAAAACTCAAAAATAAAGTTAGTAGATGGATGGTTTTGATTCAATATCTGCGCGTTCTTGATTCGTAGGTAACGGGTCTTCTTGGGATTGAACCAGTACTTAGCTGCATTAGATATTGGGAATGGGAATATGCAATGGTTTGCCTTCCATAAGCAGCCGCCTATGGGCACTGACCTCCTGGAGGCACACACTCTCTGTCTCTGTTGTGAACTTGTCATAAATTAATGCATTTGATTATTAGATTTGAACATAGCTCTTCCAGTTATCTAAATCTTAGGCTTTTAGATCCTGCAGGTAAAAAGATGCTCCTGGAGGAGAAATTTGGAAAGTGGTGTGATGAAGTGGTTGCTCTAATTCAGGAAACACCAGAGTCCATGATTTTACAGAGAGAAATCTACGACAGAGACATGATCTACTCATGGGGAATCGGGCGTGTTGCTCTGCTAGGCGATGCTGCTCATCCATTGCAGCCAAATCTTGGCCAAGGCGGTTGCATGGCAATTGAGGTATCTGGTCTTTTTAGTACATTTTATCGTTTCCATATTCGAAAAACGGAAGGAGTTGTCTCTCATGAGCTCCCATGTTGGCTCATTTATGTGCAGGACTGTTACCAGCTTATACATGAGCTTGATCGAGTTCCCAAAACCGGCTTAGATGCTCAAATTTCAGATGCAATTTGCTTGGCACTAAGACAGTAAGTTGTAGTTGTAGGTTTAAATCTTGAGGCATTGTAAAAATTACTTTACAAACTTTTGTGTGATGGTTGGTTAGATATGCGAAGAAAATAATAAGGCGTGTTGGTATAGTGCATGCAGCCACCCGAATGGCATCAAAAATGCTTGCTATGTATCAACCTTGCATACAGTTTAAAACTGGTCCTCTGGCTGTGAGTTTTCTCCACCCCGTTTCCGTCGTCAAACTGGTCTTAGTTTTCTATTTAAAATAAAGAAATTAATTAATTAAATGTAGTCATATTTCTATTTGTTCTTGTGGTTGCAGCATCTCTCAGCTCTGCATATAACGTACCTTACATTTCGAATGGGTCAGGCATTTCTGCAGTATCTTTTGCCAGAATTTATGACTTGGATGATAGCAGGGCACGGGTAAAGGAATATACAGAAAATATTTCAGTTCATTTTCACATTTTCTCATTGTCCACTTTTATCAGCCATCGCTCATGTTCTTCTTCTTGCAGGTTAAGTCTCAAATCTCAAAGAGAGAAAGAGAGGGAAGCAAAACAAACTTAGATGACTTCTCCGTTAGAATTGAAGTTGATAAGTTGATAACCTTACAACTCAAATCAACTTCTCTGTTACATATAATATTTGCTAAAATATGAATATGGGTTTGAATCTGTTAGGTTCTTTTTTTATTCTTCTCCATAAGGAGGTATATATAAGAGTTTACATGAGTGCTTTATAAGGAATTAGATCTAGTAAAGGATTAGGAAAATATCTCCTAATTATACAATGATTTGACAACTATATAAAATAGGAAAGTAAATCCCTTAATTAACCAAAGGAAATAAATCTATAAAATAGGAAAGTAAATCCCCTAATTAATCAAGGAAATAAATCTCCTTGATTAATTAGGAGACTCACTTCAACAATATTATCGGGGTTTCCGGCATGAAAAACGGACGATAGAAACAGTGATTGCTTTGTACTACTTAAATCCTTCCTTATTATAGTATACATATGAAATATATCCACAGAAAGAAAAAAATGGGGAATTACAATTACAATCTGCCTAATTCCTGTCTAATTTCTAAACCATGCATTGCTGCCAATTAATATAATTTACCTTCTAGACCGTACCCTAGGCCATCTAGAAACCTCATGCTTTCCCCCATTTTCCCTCGGCCACTTTGATGAAGCTACCACATTAGCTGTATCGGCAGCCGCGTGAGTCAAAGTCAATGTCCCTATTAGGAATAGAATTTGTATTTTATTGTAATTACCTAATTTGAGTAGAATTAAGCGATTTTATATATATTTCCTATTTGTATCCACTCTATATGTAAGTATATATATATATATATATATCCCTCCTTGAGAGAAGAATAAGGTACATATCAGTTTATCACTATAATTACTTTTGAGTTCGTATCAGAGCAGGTTCTGATCTGTCTCTACAACATTCAAACCCTAATCCTAAAAATACATATTTTCGATGCACCTAGCCTATACACCTAAGCATGAGCCGTCTCATCTCCCTTAGTGTCGTCGCTGCCACACCTTGCAACCGTTGCGCTTTACCGCTACCGTCGTAGCCACATTTCTTGCTGCTACCACCTAGTCTCCATCACCATGCCAGATATTAAGGACTTTATCCTTTCACCTGCTTCATGTTCTACTTCATCTACTGCTACTCCTACCTCTATTTTGATGGTTCACACTGAATCGTCCACCAATCTACCTATGAAATTCAAATTGAATGGATCCAAGATATGGGCTTCGGTGATCGAACTCCATGCTACTACACAAGACAAATTGGGTTACCTAACTAGCGACACTGATGCTTGGATTCCTAAGACCCACAATTTGAGAAGTGTAAAATTGCACATGCTACTTTGAAAAGTTGGATGATGCGAACTATGGAACCCAGTTTGTTGAATATGTTTCATACTCTACCTACTGCCAATGATATTTGGGATGCTATTAATCAGATGTTTTATGATGGCTCTGACATATCCCAACTCTATGAAATGTCATGCCAGGCTACCCATCTCAAGCAAGGGGGTTGTCCTGTCTCTACCTATTTTGTCGAATTTAAGGCAATCTGGCTTGAATTGGACAAGAAAAGTCCTTCTCAGATGAAGTTTGTTGATGATATGAAGATTTTCCAGCCTATTGTTATGGCAGATTGTGTGTATCTTTTTTGGGATGGCCTTGATGATACTTATGATAAGGTTCGCATTGATATTCTATGAAATGATAAGGTTCGCATTGATATTCTATGAAATGATAAGGTTCGCATTGATATTCTATGAAATGATAAGGTTCGCATTGATATTCTATGAAATGATAAGGTTCGCATTGATATTCTATGAAATGATAAGGTTCGCATTGATATTCTATGAAATGATAAGGTTCGCATTGATATTCTATGAAATGATAAGGTTCGCATTGATATTCTATGAAATGATAAGGTTCGCATTGATATTCTATGAAATGATAAGGTTCGCATTGATATTCTATGAAATGATAAGGTTCGCATTGATATTCTATGAAATGATAAGGTTCGCATTGATATTCTATGAAATGATAAGGTTCGCATTGATATTCTATGAAATGATAAGGTTCGCATTGATATTCTATGAAATGATAAGGTTCGCATTGATATTCTATGAAATGATAAGATTCCAAGTATCGAGAATGTGTTTTTTATGGTTCGTTGAGAGGCTTAATGTCACATTACTATGCATGGATCCGGTAGTAAGACTGGGGAACCTGATGTTGTGTTTACTTCCAAAAACAATGCTCTGGTTTCTCAGCCTTCAGGATCTGGCTCTTCTGTTGTTTCGCCTCATCGCCTGACTTCTGTAGAAAAAGACAAACTGAAATGTGATCACTGTGGTGATAAAAGCCATACTATAAACACCTGCTGGGCATTGCATGGGATCCCTGATTGGAAAAAGGAATGGAGACGCTTGAAAAGAGAACAACTGGGTAGCAAAGCTCATGTGGCTGACACCACCACCCATATAGCCGTTGCCACCAGTAGGCATGGCGACCTAGCTGCCGCTCCTGCTCTGGCCATGACCACAACCTCGGGCACCTCACAATCTTTTGCACCTCCTCCGTCTCCAGGAAACTCCTCTCCCCTCCCCCCCGCCCTCCAGGCATTATTAGTCATCCTACAAGTAAATAATTTCATAAATAAAGACAGAAAGCATTGACTTTTTAACATATTTTTTTGTACACCGCAAAAAAATAAAAAGGGCTTGTCTAATATATGTCCCTACAATTTCTATTTCCTAGATATATACCCATCATCCTATAAATCTATGTGTAAAACCCAATTTCAAACTTAAATAACCAGTATGACATATAAGAAGTCATAGTATTCCTATGTTTTTACATCCTTGACATCAGACTTCATATTTAATTTATAATTTATTCCAAGAATTTCATTAACTGCCATAATTGTAATTAAAACTCCCTATTAATAGCATATCAATCACCCCATTTCTTTTGGTTGCTATACCCTCTAACATATCACCCCCTAAAATTAAAAACCAAAAAAATATGTGTAAATTACATATCCAATAATGTACATATGAAAAATATAAATATAAATATATACATATAAAAATATTGGTATATTATTTACCAAAAAAATTAAAAAAAAAACTAGGTCAGTTACTTTGCAATTGAAATTTCCATACATTTTTCATAAATTAAAAATAGGTACACAATAATTTATAGAAAA